CCCCTTGGTTTCTGGTCAGGTGCTGCTTCTGTGCCAGCTGCACACGGGACTGAGGCCCCAGTCTGCCACCCAGTGCCAGCTGGTAACTGCCATTGCCGGGCTGCGCCTGAAGTGGCTAGTGGTTTACGGGAGGCTCCAGAGAGTCAGGCAGCCCCAGTGGTGCGCCTGCGACCCCTGACCCAGGGAGCTGGCTATGTACACATGGCTACAGAGCCTGCTTTTATTCTCTTTCTGATACAGAACAGCCCCTCGTCTCCCCCGGGTAGCCAGCCTGGGGGGATTCAGCACAGAGGTATTTGACTGGCTCGATTTTGCGGTTTCCTTTGGTTCTGGATTTCCATCACCCCGGTCATCTGAAGAAGGGGGCTGTGCCCACGAAAGCCCGTGATCCCATCTCCATGTTTTGTTAGTCTATAACATGCTACCAGACTGTTCGTTATTTTTTAAAGTTTTTCCTGTTACAGACGCATTCGGCTACCCCCTGAAACTTTTGCAAACAGAGGCGGGTCCCTTACCGAGAGAGACTCCCGGCTTTGGCTATGTAGAAAAGTTGTCTGTTTAACTTAAATTGGTGCTTAAAATGATAGTTAAACTGCTGCCTGACACTTCAGTTTGAGGCTGTTGCCAAACAGCTTTAGTAAGTAAAGACTGGAGAAGGTAGCAAACAAATATTGTCGCTCTTATTTAAGAATGGCTCTGGACCCGGTGATTGCAGACTGGTATGCTTTCTATCTATTCCTGATAAAGACTAAAATTATAATTGAACTGTGTGATTCATTGATAGAGCCCTGCAAATCCGCGGACATCCGCTTTATATCTGCAGATATCTGCATCCGTGACTCCTTTTGGCGAATGCAGACCTGAATTTTGTATTGAGAACCCTGCAGACTTGCAGATATCTGCTTTGTATATATCCGTGTCTGGTGTTTGTGGAAATGGATGTGAATACAAATGTTGTAACCTCGCAGAGCTCTGCTCTTTGCCATAGCAAGTCATTGGGACCAAAAACTTCACAAGAGTCAAAAAGGGACTGGATGTTTACATGGATAAAAAGAATTTCCAGAGTAATAATGCTAGACAGGGATATTAAACCTCAGGGTTCAAGGTTTAAGTCAGTCTCTGACTATGAGAGATCAGAAGGAGCCTTGCGTAGGGATGTAATAGTGTAGTCGATAAACCGATTAACCAATAAGCAAAAGCTTATAGGTTGATGCTACAGACTACACACATTCCCTCTCTCCCTGCCAGTAAATTTTTAACAGGCTGGCCAGCAGCCTGGCTCAGTCCTGGCTTGCAACAGGTCTAGGACCTACTTCTGCTATAACTCTGCATACAAAGCGTATTAGGAGCCGAGCAGGCAGGCAGCCTTGCTCAGTCCTGGCTCAGGCTGGGTCTGGGACCTACCCCCATTTCAGCTATGCATTTCAAGTGTATTAAGAGCTGCCTGGACAGGCAACCCGTCTGCGAGGGAAGCTGGTTTTTAAACTGGCTCCCCTTGTGGACCAGCTCCTGCCTGGCACCCTGCAGTGCTGCCTCCGATACAGCGGCTGCTGGCTCCAGGGACTATAGACTAGACGACTAACCGATAATGTTTCCTGAGGTTACTCAACGATTCAGTTAACTGATATTTAACGTCCCTAGCCCTGTGCAGACAGATCTGTATCTGCAAAAATGAGTCCTGGATAGCCACATTGACATCCGTGGATGTGGATACCCACAGACATAAAGTAGATGCTCACAAGTATACAGGGTTCTAGATACAAAATTTGCATCTGCATCATATCTGCAAAAATAAGCTGAGGATAGATTTGTAGGGCTCTGCTAGTGTTGTGAGTGGATTATCTCACACTTATCTACTGCAGAGGTCTTGGACCTTTCTCGGAGGCATCTGGTGCTGGCCATTGTTACAGACTAAAGGAACCTCCTCACTCTTTGGTCTGATCCATTCTGGCAATTCCTGTGAGATCGTTAAACCAGAATCTGTCCCGTACAGTTTTTTACACTGGCTTAACTACTGGTTTAAACGTGCACCTTAAACCAGTGCAGCTTTCTCATGTAGACAAGCCCCAGGATGCAACCCAACTACTCATTAAGCCATTAGGAAGATAGGAGTGGACATATCTGAAAACCAAGGACGCGCCTACTTCAGTTCCTAACCCCTCTCTGCACTGTGTAACTGATGATTCATCGACGATCATGCAGTTATATCAGGAAAGTTTTCTCCTAATCCCAAGCAGTGAGCAGTTGGTTTATGCCCTGAGCATATAGTTTCATCTGATATTTCTCTCCTAGTGAGTGAGTGTACATGAGAATGGAGCTCCTATTAGTCATGTCAATGGCTTTTGCCTGTTTGAATTTGACCAATCTCTTGGATCCACTGATAATGGAATAGGGTCGCCATGCTGGGGGGCAAGTGGAGTGTTTCTGGCAATGCCTCGTGGTAACAGGCGCAAAGTATTTTATCTGTTTCAGTGTTTATTGCCCTTCGATTTCCTGGTGTCTCCTTGCTTTTCTGTTGTGTAAGAGAGTAAGTAGGAGACACTCAACTGGCCACCTCCTTCCAGCTCCCCAAATCCCAGGAGCTTGCATCTTTCCAAACGCCACTGTTCTGTCTCTAGGGTCATGGAATTTGTGCCTCCGTTTCTACGTGTCATACAGCCTGAAGAGATGTGGCTTTATAAAAACCCATACAGAGAAGCTGATCACGTACCCACCAAGCTC